TTGCCATTAGAAACCTCTGGGAAGGTTGGATGGTTTTGTCCTCCTCTGTGCACCACGGTTCTTTCAAATCCTAATCACTACAGTGCACAGCAGTGACATTAGGCTTGGAGGAAGGGACCACAGCAAGTGGTAGGGGAAAAAAACATCCAACGTTGCCATAATTGTTAAATGCTGAAGACACTGGAGGAGGCTGCATACACTAGATCATATAACTTATACACAAGATTAAAACTCACCACAAATTCTTGAAGGAATTTCTGATCTTTATCCTTAATTGATCTTTTCAGGAATTTCTCCCAAGCTTCATCTTCAAACCAACTGCTCAGATATAGGAAATATTTGAGCGTTTCAGTGGGCATCACAACTGTCCTCATCCTCTTCTCATAATGCTTTGTCGCTTCCTGAATGGCAATTTTGTTCTCTTTCTCAGCCAAGGAAACCACTGCCTCCTCCAAGCAGGCAACATTAGAGGAGTTTATAGCATCAGTGTAAAGTTTTGCCAACTCACCCAGTCCTGCGGAAATTAGAAACATTGTCCATGTATAAATAGATGTTTTAGTGATGCAGCCTCTGTCAGTGTGCTTGCCATTAGAAACCTCTGGGAAGGTTGGATGGTTTTGTCCTCCTCTGTGCACCACGGTTCTTTCAAATCCTAATCACTACAGTGCACAGCAGTGACATTAGGCTTGGAGGAAGGGACCACAGCAAGTGGTAGGGGAAAAAAACATCCAACGTTGCCATAATTGTTAAATGCTGAAGACACTGGAGGAGGCTGCATACACTAGATCATATAACTTATACACAAGATTAAAACTCACCACAAATTCTTGAAGGAATTTCTGATCTTTATCCTTAATTGATCTTTTCAGGAATTTCTCCCAAGCTTCATCTTCAAACCAACTGCTCAGATATAGGAAATATTTGAGCGTTTCAGTGGGCATCACAACTGTCCTCATCCTCTTCTCATAATGCTTTGTCGCTTCCTGAATGGCAATTTTGTTCTCTTTCTCAGCCAAGGAAACCACTGCCTCCTCCAAGCAGGCAACATTAGAGGAGTTTATAGCATCAGTGTAAAGTTTTGCCAACTCACCCAGTCCTGAGGAAATTAGAAACATTGTCCATGTATAAATAGAAGACTAGTACAGCCACCACACTGGTAAGGTGCAATATGTGAATTTTTTTGTTTTGGCATTTAGATACGCTTTAATATATTTGATTAAAGCTACACAACATTAGATGAACTCACGGTATCCAGTGACATCAACTGTGATGTCCACTCTCTTAACCTCGGCGTTCTTGAAAATGTATTCACAGAAAAGGGCGCTCTGAGCCACAAAATCTTTATCAAGTCTATCATCGGGTAGATGTTCTAGTTCCTTCAGTTGTTTTCTGGAGTCAGTTGGGGCATCAAACACAAAGCATCTCCGTTTCCCGAAATACATCCGGAGGCGATTCCTCAGCTCATTATGCTCCTTATCCTCTGATGACCTCTCAGCTTTTGTAAATTAAATAAGAAATGTAAGAGTTAAGATTTAAAATATTAGACCTATCTCGCTCCTTGGAGTAGATGTCAAAATTCTTGCTAAAGTGTTAGCTATGCGGCTGTCTAAAGTTATTACCTCCATCATACATGCAGATCAGACAGGCTTCATGCCACACAAATCCACGGCGATGAACATTCGCAGGGTATATCTCAACATGCAGGCACCTGTTGATCTTTCGGATGGCAGAGCTCTACTTGCATTGGACATAGCAAAGGCGTTTAACAGCGTGGAATGGTCCTATCTATGGGCCACGCTGTCCGCTTTTGGTTTTGGACCATGCTTCACTTCATGGGTGGCATTGATGTATAGGGATCCATCGGCGCAGATACGCCTAAATGAAGCTCTCTCCCCCCTTCCGGTTACAACGAGGCACTAGGCAGGGGTGTCCTCTCTCCCCCCTGCTCTTTGCCATAGCCATGGAACTGTTGGCCTCTATGGTACGCGCATCACCAGAGATTAAGGGATTTGCCAGGGGAGGTAGCGAGGACAAAATAGCCCTGTACGCAGACGACACGCTGCTGTTTCTGGCGGACACCCAGACCTCTCTCACAGCAGTTATGTCCAAGCTCTCGGAGTTTGTGCGATTTTCTGGCCTATATGTCAACTGGTCCAAATCCTCACTGCTCCCACTTGACCCTTTGCAGGCCCCTCTTCCACCTACCGCATCACATTTGCCTATTGTGTCACACTTTACGTACCTGGGCATCCATATGACTGACAACCCTAATAACTTCATAGAAGACAATCTGGTCCCTTTGCTGAATAAGTTAAATGCACAATGCAAAATTAGCCCTTCCCAGCCCTTGGATATACTTCCTGGCCTCGCAACTTCAGCACCTGGTGGGTTGGTCTCTTGCGAAAGACCCTGCCGCTAATGCTAGACTATTTGCACATATGTTCCTATCTAAAGCCCCGCTATCATTGCTAGACACTTCTTTACTGTCCCGCTCTGCTCTCCCGACACCGAAACTGCTTGCCAGGGTCTGGGTGTCTGTTAGAGCCCTACTGGGACTCTCCGAGATTACCACCCTTACCCCACTGTGGGATAATAATAAACTGCCGGAGGTACGTAAACTGTGGGGATTTGTCTCATGGAGGAGGGAGGGAATACACCTGCTATCCCAGATATATGATGCAGGCACTCTATGCTCCTTTGAGCAGCTTTAATCTAAATTTCATTTACAGAAGACCCAATTTTATCAGTATCTCCAGTTGAGACATGCCTTATCTGTACACCCTGTGGCTGGCCCTATACATACATCCAAGGTTCCACTCCTGGACCAAATTGCTCTATCTACACATACCAAAGGCGTGGTTTCTCTGCTGTACTCCCACGTACTCTCACACTTTTCGAGCAAATATCCCCTCCGATGTAGAGCGGCCTGGGAGGAAGATCTGGGGGCCCTTACGGAGGAGGAATGGGAGAGTGCCATGGCCTCCGTTGGTGCATCATCTCTGTCCACCTCACATAGACTAACTCAGCTTTTTATCCTGCATAGAACGTATCTCACCCCGGAGTTCCTCTTTAGAATTGGAGTAAGAACAGACTCTAAATGCCCTAAGTGTGGCATGAAGCCCGGCTCCCTTATACACCTTCTGTGCGTTGCCCCAAATTGGTGAGATACTGGAACAAAGCGGTCCGTTATATTAACTCTACCTTCATGATCCAACTCTCCTGCACTCCACTAGTATGCCTTTTAGGCGTCTTTGACACCTCCACTTGGGATGACCACACTGAGGTTGCTGTCTCTAGGGCTCTATTTACAGCAAGGAGGATCATTGCCCTCCAGTGTATGTCCCCAGTTGCACCGACGGTAGGGGCATGGATGGCAGAGTTGGATCGCCTCATAACACTGGAAAAAATCACATATCAACACAGGGCCAATATCGCAAAATTTTAAAATATTTGGGACAGGTGGTAGAACAGACAGGTGTCACAAGATAATGACCACTAGCTGCATCAGTTTGAGTATGGTGTGAAGGGAGGAAACGTGATGGAGGAGGAGGGAGAGACATGGAGGAGGTGAGGGAAGGTTACGAGAGAGGGGAGGGAAGCCCAGTCTACTGTAAACTGTAACAGATCGGAACGTATGAATGGGATGGAGATCCTGAAGAAGTGAAGGGAGACAGGCCGGTAGAGATAAGGAGAAAAAAAAAATAAGAGGTCACGCAAGCATAAAACATGTGAAAAATGTAGATGGATTATGACATGACGTTAATGGTTTGGAAGCGGCTGATCGTCTGGATAGAGATGAAGACAGTTTGTCTTCTGTTATTTGGGTTGATTAATGCTATGTGAGAAGTGAACACTTTTGCCTGAGATTTACATTTTGCAGGGAGAAAACTTAAATAAAAACAGCGCTGGGTTGAGTTTTAAAGGGAACTTTTCACGGATTTATGTGCGTTTGCTTGTTTGTTGTAAACCTGAAAATAGTCTTCAATTTTCGGCATACCTCATGGGCAATACAAAGGATCTTTGCAGAGAAGCCATGCACTGCACTAAAATATTATCAAACGGAAAGGTGCTGTATTCTGTAATGTGATTTAGTACAAACCCTTCCACAATACAGGTGCCCAGAAGTGCTCAGAACCCCTTTGAAACTTTTTTTTTTGCTGTTTTCCTTTCTTACAGTTCTATTATTGGATGGATTTTATGAAACTTTTTTGATACTTGCCTTTATAATAGTATTCTTTTTATTTTTATTTTTTATTGTTGAGTAAAGTGGAGAGATTGTGACCCCCCCAGTTCGCTTTGACAGTTTTCCTGATTCAAATTTGGGAGTACTCCCTTCAACATTGGCACAATTGCCGCATTCAACGTTTTTCTTTTCAGCTGGATTCACAGAATCAAGAAAGGTGTTCAATTCCGACCTCATTTTATGAATTCCAATGTCCCGAACCAAATCTCAGTTTCAGTGTTATTTTTTGTATTTCCAAAAGGTTTCTAGTAGAGAAGGACTACAGGCTGCTGCAAAAGCTGCTTCTCTCTCATATCTTCTTCAGCTGTTCTCTGCGTACCCCTAGATTGACTGCCAGTGACCACCAGGTCCCACCTTTCTAATTTGGTATCACTGGAAGCAGCTCAGTCTGTATTTTGGCCTAATCAGCTGCCATGAGCTTCCAAACCATTCTGTACAATTTCGTATCATTTGCTGGTTTGTGTTACATACTTTTTTAAAGGCTTCTTCAGATTCTTATTAATTTCAGTGGGATCTCTGTTTCAAACCCTTAAAAAATTAGCTCATCTCCAGTGGTGGTCATTGTGACATATGCCTGAATCCGCTGTACATCAATCACACATGACTACATGCAGTTCTGAACCGAGTGTGGCGTCACAGACGTGGCATTACCACTCTCAGCCTCACCCTTCACAAGATTTCCCAGCTCACAGGACAACAACCTCAGACCTGCAGACTGAGAGCGATCGTCCCTGGGGTTCGTTAACTCCGCAGTTAACCCTTAACACACCCAAACTGCCACCACGTATTTTAGCGTACGTAAGTACTGTGACACTTCAAAAAACTTAAACAATGCCTATGATACCGCTGTCCTCTCAGACAGGAATATGACGGGTCTCACTATACAGTACAGTCTATGATACCGCTGTCCTCTCAGACAGGAATAGGACGGGTCTCACTATACAGTACAGTCTATGATACCGCTGTCTTCTCAGACAGGACTATGACGGGTCTCACTATACAATACAAAGTCTATGATACCGCTGTCCTCTCAGACAGGAATAGGACGGCTCTCACTATACAGTACAGTCTATGATACCGCTGTCCCCTCAGACAGGAATATGACGGGTCTCACTATACAGTACAGTCTCTATGATACCGCTGTCCTCAGACAGGACTATGACGGGTCTCACTATACAATACAAAGTCTATGATACCGCTGTCCTCTCAGAAAGGAATAGGACGGCTCTCACTATACAGTACAGTCTATGATACCGCTGTCCTCTCAGACAGGACTATGACGGGTTTCACTATACAGTACAGTCTATGATACCGCTGTCCTCTCAGACAGGAATAGGACGGGTCTCACTATACAGTACAGTCTATGATACCGCTGTCCTCTCAGACAGGAATAGGACGGGTCTCACTATACAGTACAGTCTATGATACCGCTGTCCCCTCAGACAGGAATAGGACGGGTCTCACTATACAGTACAGTCTATGATACCGCTGTCCTCTCAGACAGGAATAGGACGGGTCTCACTATACAGTACAGTCTATGATACCGCTGTCCCCTCAGACAGGAATAGGACGGGTCTCACTATACAGTACAGTCTATGATACCGCTGTCCCCTCAGACAGGAATAGGACGGGTCTCACTATACAGTACAGTCTATGATACCGCTGTCCCCTCAGACAGGAATAGGACGGGTCTCACTATACAGTACAGTCTATGATACCGCTGTCCCCTCAGACAGGAATAGGACGGGTCTCACTATACAGTACAGTCTATGATACCGCTGTCCCCTCAGACAGGAATAGGACGGGTCTCACTATACAGTACAGTCTATGATACCGCTGTCCCCTCAGACAGGAATAGGACGGGTCTCACTATACAGTACAGTCTATGATACCGCTGTCCCCTCAGACAGGAATAGGACGGGTCTCACTATACAGTACAGTCTATGATACCGCTGTCCCCTCAGACAGGAATAGGACGGGTCTCACTATACAGTACAGTCTATGATACCGCTGTCCCCTCAGACAGGAATAGGACGGGTCTCACTATACAGTACAGTCTATGATACCGCTGTCCCCTCAGACAGGAATAGGACGGGTCTCACTATACAGTACAGTCTATGATACCGCTGTCCCCTCAGACAGGAATAGGACGGGTCTCACTATACAGTACAATCTATGATACCGCTGTCCCCTCAGACAGGAATAGGACGGGTCTCACTATACAGTACAGTCTATGATACCGCTGTCCTCTCAGACAGGAATAGGACGGGTCTCACTATACAGTACAGTCTATGATACCGCTGTCCCCTCAGACAGGAATAGGACGGGTCTCACTATACAGTACAGTCTATGATACCGCTGTCCTCTCAGACAGGAATAGGACGGGTCTCACTATACAGTACAGTCTATGATACCGCTGTCCTCTCAGACAGGAATAGGACGGGTCTCACTATACAGTACAGTCTATGATACCGCTGTCCTCTCAGACAGGAATAGGACGGGTCTCACTATACAGTACAGTCTATGATACCGCTGTCCTCTCAGACAGGAATAGGACGGGTCTCACTATACAGTACAGTCTATGATACCGCTGTCCTCTCAGACAGGAATAGGACGGGTCTCACTATACAGTACAGTCTATGATACCGCTGTCCTCTCAGACAGGAATAGGACGGGTCTCACTATACAGTACAGTCTATGATACCGCTGTCCTCTCAGACAGGAATATGACGGGTCTCACTATACAGTACAGTCTATGATACCGCTGTCCTCTCAGACAGGAATAGGACGGGTCTCACTATACAGTACAGTCTATGATACCGCTGTCCCCTCAGACAGGAATATGACGGGTCTCACTATACAGTACAGTCTATGATACCGCTGTCATCTCAGACAGGAATAGGACGGGTCTCACTATACATTACAGCCCTAATCACCCC